TTGTTTAAATATTTTCATTAGTCCATGCTAATTGAGTAAAAGATCTGAACAATTAAAGCAGTCCATATGGGTTTCACATATAACCCCTGAATTCACGTGTGTTTAAACTGCTCAACTGAACTATTGAATTATTAAAAAATTATACCCACACACAATCGATGTGTATATTAAATTGCAATCAGTTTAGCCATTATTGTTAACTTGATTAATAGCCCTGAAAAGACATGTTATTCCATATACTTGGGGTGCCATCTGTTATGTGCCCAAGACTGCATGGCCAGCTATATGGTACGGGAAATTGTAGAATTTTTTTTCCTGTCTAAACATTCCCTTAGTTGGTCACCTGCATTTTAGACTGATCTGTTGTAGTTCAACAACAATTTGGATATCACAGACACAGAGTAACAGGCCTCAGAGCAACAAGGAGTGCCTTTCTTGTATTGTATTTGTATCTATGTATTTGTATCTATTCCCATAGCTTGATGCAATCCACACAAATAATTTGATGAAATCAAAATACACAAGACATACAAGAAAGAAAGTGCAAAAAGCCAGCTAGACTGAGGCTTGCATTGCCAATGGACCACTTATAACAAAGCCAGTTAAAAATTGGTGGGGAAGGCAATGGAAGTTTACAAGTATTTTATATGTCATTCTTGAAATTAGTTTGATATTTGAAAACTGTGCAAAAAGAGACTTATAACAGTGAAAAGTGGAGATTATGTTTGGAATGGGTGGTCAAGAAAAAGTTGGCAAATGTAAACTGATCTTTTTAAAAATAAGGTAGTAAAACAAAGTTATGATAGTGTTGGAGGTATAACTTTTCCTGTTATATTGCAACCTTCCTTGTTAGGCAGAAACCACATGCTTTCCACTATCATGGACTGACCAACTACTTTCAAGCTACGTTGAAATTTAAGCCTAACCATTCTATAAAATTGTAGTGACAGAAGCAGCCTACTTCAGAGAATTTGTGTTCACAGACCTACTCCGAAAATCACTGGTCATAAGATTGCAGGCCACGCAACTTACTTCCATAGAAGTACAGTTCAAAGCTGCCTTGTTTAGGCAGGGGTGAAATCCTATGTTAACTGAATAAAGATCCCATTTAAACAATGGGTCCTACTTCTGAGTAAACATGTGGCAGATCTGTCATCACACTTACTGATTAAATCTTGTACTTTCTAAATTTAGAATCAAAACTGATCCGGAATCTATGAGATTCTCTGCCATATGAAAGAGACTGCAATCGAATGCATCTTTGGCGCAAGCCAGTTGCTAGAGAGGGTTTAAATGTGCCATGCAAATTGTACATTTCCCTGCTTTAGGAATTAAAGTTTGCAAATTATTTCCTTTCCGACAAGGTTGGAGGTATCTAACCATACTTAGAACTGTGATCCTGAAGGCAATTAATAACAATCTTCAAATCTCTTTTTGTAAAAGCCTTTACTATTTACTCCAGTGGACTACTCCTGAGCAAGGACATAAAAAAGATTCTACCTTGAATTGACAAGAGGTGCAGTAACGCGACCTAATTCTGGTTTGTCCTTCAGATAAAATAAGAGATGGAACAGGGGAGGGCTCGGCGTGGGAGAAGTCACAAAAAGCAACGGTCAGCCAAAAGCCGAGGTTGAAGTCAATTTTAAAAGGGTCTCAAAAGAAAGAACATAAAGCCAAACGAAATGCCTTTTTCAAAACAAGATCAAGGCTTCCTCTTTCTTTTCCTTTCTTTTCGAGCCAAGCGCCAATTTAGCAGAAAGTCTGTCTGCCTCGATTCATTGTTGCTTCTTTATAAAATGGTGCGAACCAAAAGTGAAGTGACTTTGATTGTGGGAGATTTTGAGTGTCGGTGCTGACGGATGCCGCAGAGCGAGTGGAGAAAGAAAGGCTTGTTTGGGTGAAGGCAAATTAGGAACCCAGGAGTCTGCTCAAAGCTAAACTCATTTACCCCAATAAATTACTTTTAAAGGCATGGCAGCTGGAAATCTGCTCCCCTCATTTAAACACCAGCTTAGCCACCCGACTGAAACCAGCACAAAAAGAGGACTTGTAGAGAGACACACAGATACTGCGCTCAGAGAAAGGAGGTTACTCAAAGAATCCCTGCTCTTAACTTTATCCCCACAGGGAAGTGGTACGCCTTCCTAGCTCTTGCTGCTTGCATGTCATGCAATATGAATACAGAAGGCTGGTCACCAACTCCACTTTGGAAAGGCGCAAGAAAAGACTCCCATCGTCTCTCTTTTTTTAATCCTAGGAAATGCCAAAAAACACTTTTTTCCTCCCACGAAAACTGAAGCTGACTTTTTACAGCTGTAAGAAGCACAATTATATTCCAAGCACTCTATGCAAAGTAATTTTGGAGTAAACCTACTGAACTAATTTGATTTACTTTTAAGCAAGCATGCATAGGCTGGAGCTGCCTGGTAGGTTCCCTGCCAGAGTTTCTGCACAAATTAACAGAAAGATTGAGGAATATCTCCTGTACTTTAGAATTGCAAGTATTTTTGTATATATGTTGTATTTCAAGTTCTAGTTCAAAGACTCTTCTACAAACATGATACAAACAAGACACCAGTTTTGAAACTACTCCTTCAAACTGGTGGATAGTTTCCAGCACACTGAGTTTTTAAGTTGTCAGATGTCCAACTCTATTTTTAATCTGTCTGCTGAGCATTTCATTTCCATGGCACATGTCCTTTTTTCACATTGCACTTGGTTTTATACATGTTTGACAGGTGACAGTTAACAAACCCCTGATTCTCTGGAAACCAAAAGCCACATTAATGCCACCCCTTCAAAAACATTCCTAGGATTTCAGTAGGATGAGGTTAAATTGTCCACTGGGCAACCTAGTTCATTTGTCATACTTGGGCTTAAACCAAAATGATACAGGAGTCTAAGACCTACTAATGACCTGAACTTATTTAACCTATGGTGCTAGTCCCTTTGATATTGATATGTGTTTTACCTCAATTCCAGGAAGTGTTGTTTTAATACAGTATAGTGTACTTTCCACCATGTAAGTGTTTGATCAAAAGTTGTACGAACGAACGAACGAACGAACGTGGCAACTTCCTTCTCTTTCCCCATCCCACACAAAGCAAGGCCAAAGTTTGGACAGAGATCAGAATTTGACCCAAAGTGCTCTTTCCTGTTTGAGCTTGCCTTGACTGTTTTCTTGGGGAGCAAAGATCTAAGGCCATTCCAAGTGGATGAAGCAGAGCAGCTGGGTGCGCATGCTTTATCCCCAGTCCAAGGCTCAAAAGTCACAAACTCCAGGACATGCTTAGCTACAAGCTTGCTGAACCAAGACGCATTTGCCTCCAAGCAAAGCAAAGCAACAGCCTAGGTCAGTGGTGGGTCTTTGGGATGGAAAGGATTCAGAAGGAGCCTACCCACTCTTCTAGCAGGGAAGCTTTAAACAGGATTTCTGCACTGACCACCGAGTCAGGAGAAACCGAGTCACAAGAAACATTAAAGTGTAGTTTAATGTTCCTTCAAACTGCCTTAAATCAAAACTGCCATATTTCCTAAAAGCCAGTATTCCAGCATGTTCTAAGGGCTCCTGTGAGTTTAGCAACAAGATGACTCTTGCAGTGTATGGTTGTAAGACCAAAGCACAATCCCCATGCAAACACACATCTGCACACCCCAGAATTAGGGTTGGAGCCCAACGTGGCCTGCTTCTAGGCATTTACACCATCTGCCTGCCTCCTTTACAGAACTTTTCACATTTTCCTGCTGCTTTGGCAGTCTTTTCTCTTACCACAGAAAATATATTGAAGGAAGACAGAACAGCTGCACAAAACTTTCTTGCCCATAATGCTAGGAGCCCTTCACATGCCATTCCTAGAGAAAACCCCTTGAAATCAATAGGACTTGAATCAGTGATGACTCATTTAAGCCTCATTGATTGCAGTGGCTTTCCCCTCAATATTATTTCCCCTCAATCTGCATTGAAACCCTGCTCTCAGCAATTTCCTGGTGCTCATTGTTAAGGACATTACTTTTTATAGTAAAGGCAGCATTTGCTAAAGATTCTAACATGATTAAGGTACTGATTTAGTGATGACCCTTGTATATTGCCCATGAGACACAACTGTTACTCTTCTTATGCCCGGGTTACTAGCTAATATTCCAGGATGGAATACCTGTTTAACACCCCTGTTTGCATGGCATTCCTACTGCTCATACACCATTATTCTGTGACGGAGTCTTTGCAGATCTGTGTGTTTGTGTAGGCACCCATACCAAACCACTGTCAAAACACCTTAAGATGATGGCAGCCGGGAAACCATTCCCCACTCCTTCCCCCATTTTCAGCAGTGCCCAGTCGTGGCGCCTTCATAACCTGGCACAGCTTTGCAGAAGCAACTGGTATTCAGAGACCTTGAAAGTGGAGTTCCAGTTTGCCCTCTGTGACTAGCACAGGTGCGCCCGGAAGCCAGTGGAGGGGCTGCTTCTCAAAGAATTCTCTTTACAGATTTAGCATGTTCAGTGAACCTGGAAAAGAACAATGCCAAACAGTGCAATCCTATGCAAGTTTAGATGGGAAAAAGACCACGACTGCTAAAATGGGCCGCCTCCTTTCCTGTCTAAATTGCATAGAATTACATCTTGGTTCTCATTTCAAATATATAGCATAGGCATACCCGGAGACCAGACTGCAGGCTTTTTTTTTGCTCCAGGTGTGGGTCAGCCCCATAACACCTGGAGACAGATCAAGGCCTCCCCCACCCCTGCCCCAAGCTGAAAGCATCGAACATGGGATGATACAGGAAATTTAGTGTGCCCCCTTGCCTAGGTTTCTGCCCAGAGATTCTGCAGGGTTATGCAAGGCTTTTAAAAGCTGTGCTTTACAGCAGCTGATAGCCAGGGAGCCAAAGCGGGCAAACCAGGCCTCCAGCTCTGGAAAGCAAGTGTTCTGGGCCAGAAGTCCCTGATGGCAGAGTTTCACACGAGGCTGGAGCAGCTTCTATGGGTCGCACTATACATACCGAAGGTGGGTCGCCGGCCAGAGAAGGTCCCCTGCCGTGTCTGGAGGCTATGCAAGACACTGCTCTCAAAGTGTCCTGCAGTCCAAGATGGCGGCATCTCTGCGGGGCTGACATAAGCACCCGGATAAGGGCTGGAGTAGGATCCATTGACTGACCGCACCAGGGTATTGCCGTACTGGTCACGCCCCCCAGTACCTAGTAACAGTGGGCTCTGGTACCCTCCATCTCGTCCGGTACTACCGCCACCAGGGGGACTGTGGGAGTAGGAGAAGCTGGATGGCGGATGAGGGCTGCTGGGGCTGAAATGCGATGCTTCTGCACTGGTGGTCTGTGCCCATCCTGGGTGGCTGCTCAGCGGGTGACCCTGGTGAGCAGGTTCACAACTCTGCAGGTAAGGCAGGCTCTGGAGCATGGAGGGCACCCGGCTGGTGGGCACGTACACCGCTGGACTGGCTGGCGAGTGCAGGAAATTGCTGGAGTCATGGGAGTATGCCGACTGGCCCGGGTTGGGAGCAAGAGCTAAGCTCTGGTACATTTTATATCCTTCGAAGCGAGGGCTGAGAAAGCAAGGCAGCGGCTGGAGGGGTGCACTCGAGGCAAGCGAAGAAGTTTGAGGGCAAGGGCCGAAGATAGGACATGAAGAGTCCAGCTAATCCTCGGAGCTGTTGCAACTGCGACAGCTTTTCAAGCACCTGCAAACAAAAAGAAGAGAAATAAGGACAGACGTTTGGTCCTGTATCTATCCCCTGCCCCGAAACTTTATATTCTTTAAAGCTTTTTATATTCCTAGTCTGTATCTTGAAGAGTGTGTGTTGAATGCAGCAAAAGCAGGGAGAAGGACTGGAGGTCACAGTATCTGTGATTTTAGGAGAGTCGGGTTTTTTGTTGTTGCTGTTTCAAAATGCTTCCTCCCTCCTGGGCTCTTGCAACAGCTTGACATGCCAAAACTTAACAAATCAATATATATTTTGTTAGTTGGTTGAAGTTTGCTTCAACTTCTCCAGCTTAATTTCTCCCCTCCCTGCCGAGTAGCTGGAACTTGCTGTTCTTCCAAGGTGGTCAGAACAGCTTGCATGGTGTTAGTCTGATGTACTTTTATTTCTTTAGGAAATTCATAAACCACCTTTCAGCACAAACTTCCAGCTGAGTGTGCAGTTAAGGGAATAGGTGCTATACACTTAAACTATGAGACAAAACCTCTTCTTAATAATCCTGAGACTAGGTCAGAACATTTTGGGAGTTTTATGGTAGTCCCTCCTTTTAATCCACATCACAAAGGCACTCTTATTTTATAGTTTTGCTGTATAGGCTAAAGGAAGTTCTGGACCCAGCCACACAGCTGCAGGACAAAGCCAGCCTAAAGCACACGTGCTTGAAATAAAATGACAACAGCAACAATTCTTTATCCCCCCCCCCTTGATATATTGTCTAAAGAGTGTCAAAAAAGTAGTCACTGTCTCCAAAGTGACCTTAATCACTTGCATGACCTTATGCAAGATTACTTGCCTGCAACCCCAACTGAGTCCAGTGCCACTAAGTTTGCAAAGCGATCCCAGACTCACTGCTCCAACTAGAAGCCCTTCATAGCCCTTCCTCAGAGTTGAGGATCAAGCTAGTTTGTTCCTATCCACTTAAAGTAATTCTATTGCCTTGGGTTAGATGACCCTACAAATACCGGAAGGGATGCAGTCACAGGATGCGGTCACAAAGAAAATCTGTAACATCTGACAACCATTCCTTGTATTTAGAAGTGGTAGGTTGAAAAATCTCACTTCTAATGCTATTAGGAACGTGTGAGTTGGATGGGGAGGAATAGTTATGGAGAGAAAGACACATGGCACCCCTCTACAGGAGCCAAGAAAGCAGTTTGGAACACACTGTGAACCCGCCTGGAGTGTATTCTTACAGAGGCAATCAGGTCCAACTTGGCATTTCAGCTCCAAGGGAGCCGACTCATCTGTTGTGTTTCAACAAATACAAAACAGCAAAAGGACTTCAGGATGACCAATTATCAGATGGAAAAAGTTCATACAAGTATTTTCTTACACTATCTCTATCCTATATTAAGAATGAAGTTCCACAAAGGAGGTGTTGCTACAATGGATCTAATAAGCTGTAAGAGAATGATAGAGCTCCCGGAGGACCAAAAAAATATGTGTGCACATCAGCATATAGGAACACTGCCACCATATTGCAGCAAGTCATTGTTTAAACTTGCAGAATGGAGCAGGCCATGAAGCAAACCCCCCATTTTCTGCATATTTTCTCAGAAGTAAGACTCATTATATCTAATGGGACTTACTACCTGGTGGGAATGTAATAGCATCGCCTCCTCTCCAATGCGCACTAATATGGCTCAAAGCTCCAGGTAATTTTTAAAAAGAGACAGATGCCACAATGCACCATTCAACATACGGAATTCTCCTTTGAGCTGTTGTGAGGGCTACCGGCTTTGCAAAAATATACATTTATAGAGGATGCATATACTCCTTATTAATTAAAAAAACCTCAGAACTGTGAGTCAGGAATGCTGAACTGACATAATTAGATCTGGGGAATACCAGCCACTGAGAATAAAGGGAAGATTTCATCAATATGCACAATTACCCAGCTGGTGGTAGTTAGAGACAGAATAAACCTTTGCTCCAACTGAGACTGTTATTCTTTCTACCTAGGCTGCACTAGGTACCTAGTTCATAATTTTGGGGATAAAGTGAGAGGGCTGCATTTAATTGGAGTCTTTGAAGACCGTTTACATGAAGGGTGCGATCCTATGCAAGTTTAGACAGAAAGAAGGATGACAACCGGACCACATCTTAAAGGTGTTATAATCACAATCGGCATCAAAAGCACATTTTGAATCTTTGCTCGTTGCAGTGGGTTAGTGCAGAGTACCTGTCAGAAGCAGGTCTGCAATATTAGGCAGCCTACTTTTGTGCCTGGGAGAAAACTGAAAACTCACCCTATTGAAAAAGCAGCAGTTTAAGAGGTGGTGCCAGGACAGCTGCAAGCATTCTTTCTGCCAAAACTCAAGGCACCAGCTAAGGCTAGAGTCTCACTCATCTCTCTGGCTCTGCTTTCAGCAGGCCTCACATTGGATGAAATCTTCGGTTATGGCACAGAACTAAGGATGATCAAACAGGTGTAATTCATTATTAAACAGGTTTAATAATGGATTCCTCATCATCATCATTTATTTATTTATTTGCTATACTACCGCATAGCCAAAGCTCTCTGGAAGCAAGTCCCAGGGGTTAGACAGTATCTTGCCTCCCAAACCAGCATAGCACCTTCGCCTTAAATTGGGTTATAATCTGGCTCATTCCAGATAAACTCCCATGTTATCTTCTAAAAGCAATCCTCGAACTATCAACCAGGCCCTCAGGCTGTCTATTCAAAACTAAGGCCCTGGCTTAAGGACACTTACTCAGAACTAAATGTGTGCAGAGTTTTGGCCCTTGCTTGCATACTGAGACAGAAAGCTAGTGCTGAATTTGGTGGATTGAAGCAAAAAACAAAAAAGCTAACAAAAACCCACCCCTACCGCCCATGCATGTTTAAAAGAGAAAAACAACTTCCCCAAATTTCGTAATTCACAACCCCACTCCGTTTCTTGGAAATAACCTAACTTTTTAGCTGCCCCTTCCCCATTACAGAACACTGAGATCATACAAACAGGTGAAGTCTTCCCCCTTAGTGGGACTATTTTAAGGGAGCCCGTAGTCAACCTAAGAACTATTCTATACATAAATCCAGACAATTACACTAACCAGAAAAATCAAAGCAGGATATTTTAAGGAGACAGTCTCCCAGACCAATAGGAAACTTGGTCCCTCGTATGAAACCCACCACCGCTAAATGCCATGGGTCCGCAGCCAGGCCTTGGGAGATGTGAATTTTGGAATTGCTGAAAATTACCTTGGGAGAGTCCCTTAACCGAAAAGAAAAGGAGAGAAAGCAGTACATGGGAAGCTGGAGGCGAGACTTGCAGCTCTGAAGCGCTTGGAAGGAATGGGCGACGCGCTTTTTCACGGGCGTCGTAACTACGATGAAGGGCGGAAAAGCAGAAACGGACTCCAGGAGATCCAGCAGGAATCCGCCCTGCAGGGCTGCGTGACAGTTGGAGAAACTTGGCCCTTCTTCGCCCCTGACTTTGGCGTCAACATTATAGGACGCGCCGTACTAGCAATATTTCTGGTGTCCGTGTTTTTGGGAAGACAGGAAGGCGAACACCACTAAACACGCCTGGCATTCGGGATTGCGTAACTTACACGTTGCTAGTATTGAAGTCTGAAACAACGAGAGCCGCGCCTTACGCGCGAGTAAGCCCCCCAAACGCAGCAGCGGCTGCGATTCGAGACAGGCCGGTTTTCCCGTTGAAGTTTGGGGGGCTTTCACGGCGCCTGGAAGGGAGAGCAATTCCAGAGAGAAACCTCTGGAAATTTACGTCGGATTCCCCAGGAGATCGGGAACCAAAGTCGTAGTTTATCCTTCTCCGGGCTGAATTTGAACTCATTAAATTAAGCCCCATGAAAAGGTACTGGGACTTGCCTCCAGGTTCAGGGCTGTCTGTTTTCTAGGAAGTAAATTCCCCTTCGCGTTCAGGCCGGCGGAAATATTTTCGGCCAAATGTTTAAAGCCTCACCATCAAAACGCTTCAGTCTCGCATACACCTATTTGGAAGTAAATCCCACCCCGATGATTTAATGTGAAGACGCTCAGGGGACAAGATCCCGTTGCAACTTCGGTTACTTTTAAAGTACAGCAAGTTCTTAACTGTGCAGGCCTGTCTTAATTCCCACAGAGTTAACCCGCTCCATTGAATTTAATGGCGCTTACTCTCAGCTGAGCTTAATGTCGCTTACTTGAAAATTAAATCCGTACAAACGGGAAAAGGACGCGATGCCCGAATGGGGTGGGGAGGGGGTTGTTTATTCGTTTCAAATCAACCGGTTGCAAGCAAAGTGCCTTCCTAAACGGAAAAGTGCGAGGGGAAGAGAAAACAGAGTTTTCTTCCCGACCAAAGCGGCAGCGACTTCCTTGATAAGAACCGGCGCGGTGGGAAGCGAGAAAGAGAGAACCTTCCCTGTCCGAAAAAGGTATCGGAGAAGATTACGGAGGGCGGGTGGGGGGGGGTCCCCTCGCTTTTCTGTTTAAAAGGGGGGTTAATCAGCAAGCCCGTAAATCACAGACGCGGTTATCCATAGTGGGTCTTTCCAAAGCGACGGGACCCCCGCTCCCCCCAGCTTCTCCCGGAGTGGAGTTATCTGGCAGATAAGCCGAGCTACAGGACAGATAAGTCCCTACACCAGGGCGTGCAGGGGGGGCGGGTACTTACGTCTCAAGAGGCAAGGAAGGAAAGGTCCCATGATGAGCTGGGCCGGCGCGAGAAGAGCCCCCATTCAAAAATAAACCAAAAACCAAAAAAGATCCCGAGGAGGAGAAGGAGGCAGCGGGGGGAGCCGCGCCTGCCCCCTCCCCGGCCGCGTCCCGTCGCCCGGCCAGGCGCGGAGGCTCCGCCGGGCTGCCCGGCCGCGGCCCTTATCTCTGATGGCCCGATAGCCGCCCTGCCCCGGCCCGGCCCGGCCCGGCCCGCCCGCTGCGGCTCCGCTCGCGCCTAGTCGCGGCCTGCGAGTGCTGCCCGGGGCGGCGGCTCGGCCCCTTTACGGCGGGCGCGGGGGGCGCGTCACGT